AAAAAATAATAAAACTATTTATATTAAGCATTTGTTGAGATTTCAAATACAAGGACTCGAATTGAATGGAAAGTAAGGAAAACAGGAATACTTATAATACTAATAATATAAATGGCATCTAATTATGTCATTCGACAGCAATTCTTGTTGTTTTCATTTGTATAGAAAACTCGCAAATATTCAATAAATCATAACTACTTGTCTTGTCTTTCATGATACATATGAAACACATGAATAATTGAATTCAAATAAATCAATAAATAAGTGTCAATAGATTATAATTAATATTATGAATACCTCTTCCCTTTCTGATGACAAAGGCATTGGTAGGCTTTCTCGCCCACTCGCACGCCCTCCGTGTGATTGGCATACGTGAGCCATCAAGACATAGGAACTGGTAATTGTCCCGTTCCTCCGGTCGTGTTTTGAAATAATTGTCAGTCGTCTCAATGGTGGTGAACGCCACCTGACCCTCACCTTCAATCAGACATTTGATGGCCCCCTCCTCGCCAGCGTACGGATCCCTATCCCCACACATCTGTGGGTCTTTGCAAAGACTACACAGGTTTGGGTGCCGTCTCTCTATTCGCAGTTTATTTAGTAAATGACAATACATTGTATTAGTTTTTCAATTATTTCTTGTGTGGGTTTTCATAAAAACATCAAACAATACTGTATTTAGTATTTCTCAATCCATAATTCACTAAATCTATTATTAGATAATAATAAATTACCAAGTAATTTCACATTTCTTATCTATTCATAATCTTAACTCCAAACTAATAATAGTAGATTGCAAAAATTATTCTACAATCAATACTACCTGTATATGCATTGCAATTTACAATCTATCCTAAACGATTTATGTGCAAATATTTTAAATTTACTTTTATTTAATATATTCAAATAAGTTTACTTTGTTATTTTACAGTATATTATTCTAAACTATTCTATTGTTACAGTTGTATGGTTAAAAATTACTAATTCTTATACTGTATATGTTTGAAAGAATGTGAAATAGTGATAAAATGACAGGAAATGTGTGCAAATATATACTCAATTCGTGGTCGAGATACGAGTCGTTGGCCCACTTGCCGGCCGCACAACTCGGTCCGAAGAACTGGTGCACCGAATCAATCTCTCCCCTGCAGTCGGGCACCAGTGTGTCGGTGGCCAACAGCAGTCCCACCGGAATATTCCAACCGGAATCTGAATTATATGCCCCCAAACACGCCCTCCGACCCTTCAAATCACTAATTGAGTTGATGTTAATATTGCGGTGAACTAATGCTCCCGATCGGTGCTTATATATATCTAGCAGAATTGAAAAATATTCAGTAAATATTACAGTAAAATTTGTTAATACCTTATTTAAGTTTCATATTTACTATTAATTTACATTGCAAGAATTTTACAAGAACTATTTCCAGAATTAAATACATAAATCTTAAAATAATAATCTATTTAATTGATTTATGCTTTTGAATAAGGATCAAAATAAAATAAAAATTGTATTATGCATCTTTTATTCTAGAAAATTATATTACGCAAAGAATTTTAAATTTTTTACTTTAAGAGTAGAGAACCCATGACTTGAGTAATCAATCAAAAAGACATTTAAAAGCATTTAATGAAACTGATAGTCAATACAGTGTTTGTTGTGTTGAGTAAATATGCAGAGCTATCAAACAAATTCAATGGCAATTATTTTGTCTTGAAATAACTCATAGCACTTGAATGGCTTGAATTGCTTTTATTCTTATCGCTCATCAGGTAATCTGTCTTAACCTCGATTGCCATCAAATGTCACATCAGATAATCGATTGAATTTCAAATAACTAATTATTCCACAAATTCTGCTTTCTTTCCAAAATATGGAAGTTATCCAAAAACATCAGTTCTTCACAAAAGTTTAAATAAATCAAATAAATATCTTGTTTGCAATCATTCAATAAGTACGTATACATAGGATGGAGGAGGGGTCAGTCTAGGTATGCCGAAATAATGTTAAAGCCTAATGCACTGTATGATGGGGTTAAGTATGGGATCAATTTTGACAAACATTTTGTTTACGTACCAAATGAATGCCTCAAATCAATGAAAGGGATGGTACAGAACAGGTGTTTACTAACAATGTGTGGGATGTTTATACAGTTTATCATATATTAATCAAATTTGTTGTCTTTGTGTAAAGTTTATGTGTAATTGTTTTCACAATTTATGTGATTTATTTAAATTTATGATATCTTCAAATATTATTTTATTTTAAAAGTTTATAAATTATAATTTCTTAATAAGTAAATTGTTATTTAAACAATAACTTAAAGAATCATATAAATTAACTTATGAACTGATAGTAGTTTACATATAATATTATGTTTGATTTCTGTAAAACTATACCTCTTAATACTGTACTGTAAAGCTAATAAAGTTGTAACTTTGATGAAGCATTTATATTATAATAATAATAATAGGATATAAATATATGTAACTTATAAGTGTTTCGTGTGTAATGCAATGTAAACTTACTTCCGTTCACTTCCTCCACAACGAACGGTTCCAATGCATACAGTCTTCCGGCTAAATACAAATCCTCGGCGTCTAAGTTCACTATATCTGCCTCATCCCTGTCCAATAGGCGCATACAGTCATATCTGTCAATATAATGTTGTTATACATGAAAACACATTTAAATACAATATACTGTTCTGTATTGTAATGAGTCAATTTTATTTACTTATCTCTGGCGTTAATACATGAAAATGTGCCAGGTACCTGAAATGTTCAATATAATTGATTTGGTTATTTGATTAAACAAAATATGAATAAAGTGTATAAAAAGTGACTCACATTATCAGACATACGCACGCATTGGTCATAGACCGAGTCGGCCACACAAAACCGTATTCGCACTAAACAAACACAAACATCATTATTAACACCATTCAGACAAACACTTTCTCTATTTATACATTCATTTTATTCATTATTAATATGAATAACTAGAATAGGAAGTTGGGAACCCTTGTCCGACCCGACCCTTAAGGGTATCGGACGGGAACGGGTTTGAATATTAAGGGCCGGGTCGGGAAAGGGTTTCCCGTTGTAGAAATCAAAACCCTTAAAAAGCCCAAACCCTTAGAAAACCCTTATAACTTTCTCACAGTATTTATATTTTTTCTTAACTCGACCCAAAAATGTCGATAAATTGTTGTTTATTAAATCTAATTATGATCTTTGTGAACATTAAAGCATTATATGAATGTAAGTTTAATGTTAAATTTTATAAAATGTTCATTTGATGTTAAACTTGCCGTAATTTTGTAGTTTTAAATTTTAAGGGTTTTTTCGGGTTCCCACGGGTTTCCCGGAATAGAGGCCGAGTCGGGGCGGTCTTCCCGATTAAAGTACACTAAGGGTTTGGGCCGGCCCGGGTTTCAAAAATTGGTCTAACTTGGGAGTCTACTCCTAACCATCACTATACTGTACTATAGTAGTACTGTATTCATTGCCAAAATAATAGCGTTCATATAATTCAAATAATTTGTATAAGAAAACCCATTGAACCAAATCACTTTACTGTACAATAATACTTTATGTATTGATAATCAACTGTGATTTACATTAGACTACGAATCTCGGGTTATTTCCTTAATTATAGATTTTATTTAATATTATAATAAATGTGTTTTCCAAAATTTCTTAACATTCCAAACATTATTTTGTCTGTTAAGAGACTATTCAAATCATATAATATTTGCCATATAAACCTGCAGTACCTGAAGTACCATATATAATTAAATGATTAATTTTTAAATAAAGTCTGATTTAAATATTATAATGATAATTTTATATGACCTGGGTCATTCCATATATACTCTGTCATTCTTCAAACTGTTTAAAATTACATTTCTTAATCAAATATTATTTAAGAATTCTTGTCTCAAATATTTTTTCTATCATGGCATATTTAACTTAAGCATTCTTTAAAGTGCCCTATAACTTTTAAATGCATATAAATAATAATCTAATACTGTATGACATACTGTTCCAAAATTGTCCAGCTGGCCATTTTCATCATAAACTCGACCGTAAATTATAATTTTCAAATGAGCCAAGAATGTTGATTCATAAACTTTGTGACATTAGAAGTGAGTGAAAGTTTTACAGTTCACATTATTTTAATTTCAAATCATAAGTTACTGTATTTCAATACTAAGTTAATGTACAAAAAACCTGATAACTGCACGAATGAAATACATTGAGTCAATAGGTTCTGCTTTTCTTAGAAACTTAAAAATTCATATCTGTTTTCACATAAGTTTTAATATTAACAGGTGATTATAAAAACAAGAAAAAATGCAATGATATTTGTGACTATAAAAAAAACTTTATCTACTGATAAGCTAGGGTAAAATTATCAATTATGTCTGTATAAATTCAAATTATTTAAGGCGCCACCATTCACTGCTGTATGTAGTTTTAAATAGGTATTCAGTTGCACCAGTGTTTGCAGTTATAAAAATATTTTTAGAAATTGAGCAATCTACTTCGAAATATATTTATTTTAAACTTATTTTTAATAATAAAAGAGAGATTGTTAACAAAAAGTTGCAAAATGAATGTTTCTCACAATAATCAATTGAGTAAAAAACAAATTAAAATTATTTAATAGAGTCCACAACATAGACAGCGAATATTACACAATATTAGATATTACCTCTAATATCAATATCAAAATCTTAAATATATTTGGACTCTCATTAAGCAAAAAAAAGATATATTTGCAATGTTCAATAATTGACTATTATATTAAAATATTATAAATACAGTATATTGTAAAATGTTAAGTTTTATATTAAATACTGAGGATTGCAAAGTCTATTCATGAGTCAGTTTAGAAATTACTTAATAATTAGCTTTAATTTCATAGAAACATCAAATCATTTCCAAGTTTAAAACAAATGGGAAATTTTCAAAATGTATGGTTGCAATTAAATTTAACTCATTAAATGAATGGAAGTAATTAAAAACACAAACAAAAACCATAATATTATTTGAAACAAATGTTCACAAGGCTTGTTGAGTACAGCGTTTGCTGCACCCATATAGTCATCTACTGTACTGTAGTGACAAGATTATATATTTTAAAGTAAATTCATTCTTCAACAGAGATATCACATTTGAACTACAATACTGTATTTGTATAATTTATTTAAAACACACATTACTTCATTTAGTTATTAGGTATTATTTTGAACAGTTTTTATATTATCTATCTTTTACCATAAAACATAGATTTTAGTCTATTTAACAATAATTAACAATATTTACTTTACTTTATTATAAAAATAAATTGCTAAATACATTATAACATAAGTTATTATATAGATTTCATCGACAATCTTAATTATTAAATTAATTCAATATTATAATATAGTTATTTATGACTATTTAATTGATTTATAATTGAAATCTAATTTATATTTACATTTAAAATATGCATTTTCTAAAATCTTTGTAACAAATATCTTACATCGCTACAAGTATATTATTGATAATTAAATTTTAGAAATATAATTACATAACTACATACATAAAAGTATAATTTATTATAATCACGATAGGTTATAGCCTAATCTTATAGATATTATACATTGATTATTAAGTAGTCAGTTAATTAAGTTTATATAAAACAATATGCAAACTACTTAATTATATATTTAGTATAATTGTTTGAATTAGAAGTTATAATTTATAGCATATCTATATTGATGTACTAAATAAGTGTTATGATTCGCTCAATCATGTTATCAAAATAATTATAAACTTTTCGCTTAGCATCATATTAAATGAATCCCAATATAATTACTCCATTTAATATACGGTATACTTATGACAACCAAATGCATTGAAATTCATCACAAAACAAGTTATCCTTGATTTTGCATTTTTTTAATCAACAATATTTGCCTCATTGCTTCACCTCCTTGAAATACAAACACTAATAAGTTTACAAAGTTCTTCAAAATAGTACTCAATATAGAAAGTAATATTCATATCAAATAAATACAATTAATTTCACCACTTTCTATTTTTATATACAATTTCTATGAAGGCGTATTCCCTTATGTGCGTACGAAAAGTTTGACAAACTAATTTGACCAATCCCCCTTTAATCTCATTGAGCATAGAAATTAATCTTACATATTAATTTGACATAACCCCTTCATCTTGCTTGTATACGTAATTTATGAATGATGCCTAATATAATACAATAATAAAATTATTATCCAATAATTGAATTCATTAAAATTCTATTAGATTCGTTAACAATGAATAAGTAAATGTACGACAAAAGATATAACTTTTCATATAACCAAACAAAAGTATGTTTTTTATAATTTCTTACTAAAGCGTTAACTTATATAAATATCACTACGAAAGTGTGAAATCATGAATACGTTTCCATTTGTGGTCATAATATAAGATAAAGTGTTTTATCACATTCTCGACACAAAGAGTACCATTCTTTCACTCAAACGATATTGAAGGTTTCACTCAAAACATAGCAAATATTTTGAGTTTTACGGGTCTGTACCATGTATTGGATAAAGTTCTATGATAAAGATGTAATTTATTGTATAAAATGCTCAATGAATTCATAGAACTGGCTTTACTTGACTTTTAATTTTGAAAATAGTTTTATTTGTTTAAATTCAAGATTTGCTTTCAAATCACATGAATCTTATGCATCAATTGTGTGATACACGACTGCACTCCTAAACTAAATACGATTGTCACGACAAACACTCTATACACGTCTGTACTGTATATAAAGTACATATTATTTTTAAATAAACCTTTCTTCTATATTACTATCATATTATATTCACAAATATAAAATATTTTTAAAAATTTAATATGACAATTTAACACAAAATATTTAAAATAAATATAATAGGTATTTATAATTCTTTTAGTTAGATATTATAATATTGATTGTTTTTATTTGTTATATATTATTTTGTATAATAAGTTAAATTATAGTAAAATAACAATTTTTGTTAAATATTAAGATTTTATATTAATAAATATTAATGGTTATATAAACTTTAATTTATAATATAAAATATAGTGTATACAGCGAAAAATTTATTTACAAAATACACTACTATGTATGT